GGGGGGGGAGGGGGCGGAATTCCTCCTAACTTCTGAACTAATCAGAAACTCCAATCTGAGCTGTAAAAATATAGTAACCTTGGCATAAATTATTATCGTACAACCCCTTGCTTACCTTTTGTTCAGCTTTTCTTGCAGATATGAATCATCGGTGTTATTATGGGAATCTCTAGGGTCTTTATTTTTCTGTTAAAACTAGAGCCTCCCCCCACCCGAATTTGTTCAGTGCTTTTCATCCAAGCAATGTTGTTATTCTTTTGTCTAGACATATCCATGTCATTCTTTTCACTTAAAAGCATATTGAATTGTACTTAAGCACTTGACAGCACTTACATCTATGAAACTCATACAGACTGGTTTTCTGTGCAAAGTATCATCAATCAGTTGTCCCCATTGAATCAGGCAGATACTAAGATTTAAAATAAAACCAAAAGAAGTCTCTGCATAATGTATGGTACCTGGGCTTGTTCCATGCTTCAGCATCAGTCTTGCTTTTAAAATGTTTGTGCATGAATGAAAGTGTTAAATTAAGAGTTACCAGTTTTTAGCAGCAAACTTAAGATAAGCTTTAAACAAGACTGAGGTTTCAAACAGGAAACGTGTATTACATCCAAGAGGTTATCCTGGCTGAGGCTGAGGGTTTGGGAGAACAGGGGGTGGGGGAGTGGCATTAGACTAGCAAAATATTAATGACATTTAATGCAACACATATTCCATTTTCCAGTTGAACGTCGTATTTACCTTTTGTTAACCTTGCCTTTTCTCACAGCTTTATGGATTTTATTTTTGTCTATGGATTGTCTTTTAATTTGTTTCTAAAACTATCATCACTAAATATCTGCTCTACTCTCTCCTAGGAGTTTGGCCCGAAGGATCAGATGGGACAGACATAAATGCCCTTGTCAGATCCCATAACCGAAAAGTGATAGCAGTTGCTGATGATTTTTGTAAGGTCCATCTCTTTCAGTATCCCTGTTCCAAGCCAAAGGTAAGTCTAGACCAGTCTAGTCTATGTGCTTGTTTGCACTGCATGAAGCTTTCCTTGCCAGACACCTGCTTCCAGCTTGGTCGTTTGGAACCTGGCAGCCAAATAGGTCATTTGTATCTGAGAACAGCGCTAGAGACAAAAGCATGGTTTTCCCCATTAAGTTGATATATTAAATAGAAAATATGAAATAATATAAAATATGAAATAATGTACCTAAAAGTGAAGTGGCACATCCTTTAAGTTCTGGAGCAGAGGTTTGACTCTTTCTGTTCGCTGGCCTGGTGTTACGTCCATTACTTTTTGTGTAAAGATCTAAATCTGTCCCAAGTTACAAGCCTTAAGAAGGGAGGGTGTATTGTGGGAGGAAACCTAATATAAATATAATTCTTTACTCTTATGTGAATAAAGAGCGCTCTTGAAGGGCTAAGCAGAAATAGTTTTAGATTTGGGTATCATGTGCTCTTCTAGTCAAGCATGTGATTTATCATCTTTCTGCTTGTTTTCAATAGGCTCCAAGTCATAAGTACAGTGCTCACAGTAGTCATGTGACAAATGTCAGCTTCACCCATAGCGACAGTCACTTGATTTCAACTGGAGGGAAAGACATGAGTATTATTCAATGGAAACTTGTAGAGAAGGTAACTCTACCACAAAATGACATTGTCGTGGATATTGGTGGAACCAAAGTGCCCATCACTGCAAGCGAAAACGCTGTACAGTCTCCTGCACCTCTCCCGCAGCCTTTTAGTGAAATGAACCAAAACGAAAGCGTAACTGGCAGCTCTCCAGTTTCTTTGGAGAGCAACTTGGAGCAGTCTGCGGAGGCTAGCGAAGAGCAAAGCGAGGAGCAAAGCGAGGGGAGCAGCCTGGATCCTGCCGAGCCGGGCTATGACGAGCCCTCCAACGAGATGAGTGAGGAGCACAGTGAATCCACGGTCACTGAAGAGCAGCAAGATAACTCACCGGTGTCTTAATGCTCCCAGCTCAGGAGGCTGTTATTTTCCCTTGGTGTGCGTGCTTTCTTTACAGGGTGAGGGTTCAAATAGGGAAAAGTAGCTGAGATTCATGACCACTCCAGCTTTTGAGTTCCAGTGAGATTTTTTAGTCTGAGCTTCAGTTCAATGTGTGGAACCATCCCAAGGGCCTGACTTGATGGTCTGTGTCAAGATCTGGTCACAGTTAGTAGTGGACATTACCATAGATCCATTTCAGTTCTGAAATTGCTGTCAGGAAGTGGCATGAAATATATACTGGAAAAAAAGGTTAGTTCTGCGAGTTAGCTGAAGTAGACCACCTTAACTATGTGAAAGTGCTTTCTGAAATAACTAAGCTGATGGGAAGCGCTGAGCTGTTCCAGCTGGGGAGTACTGTGCTGCTTTTTCCAGGTGCAAAGACAAACAAAGAAAACAACCAAAAAGCTCTTTGTAGGGCTGTTTTCCTTTGTTTTTTCTTAATGAGAAAAATAGAGGAAAAGCAATGTAATAATGCCACGTGTATGGCGATGCCTTCTTGATCTAACACATATGCAATTTTCTAACACTACTAATTCCTAGTGGAGTCTGGATGTGTTTGCAGTTGGTCTGCCCTGGGTGCTGCTAGTTCTAAGGCAAATCCTGTCAAGAAACGATGTCAGCTGTTCCATTTTCACAGACTAACCAAATACTGGTGTGTTTCATTTTTCATGACCTGAAAGTTGATTTAAACTGTAGGACATAATTGTCTCTTCAAATAATTGCTTGCCTAGAGAGTTTGAAACTTAAGAGGATCTTTACAGTGACTTTGATGTGAACAGCAGAGGAAGCATGGCAAGAACACAGAAGTCAGATGGGCTCCAGAGTTAAACTTTAAGCCTTCAAGCAGAACTTGCTCCATCCCTAGTAGGAGAAATATAAATACAGTTAACTTAAATTATTAAATTGGTGCTTAGGATTAGTATATTAAGTTGATAATTTTTTTCTTCTGAATTTTTAGAGGTAACTCTAAGAATCATTAAACGATCTCTGCTTCCCCCCTTGCCCCCCGACTCCTTTAGCAGTTGTGATATAAGCATAGAGTAATTTAGATGATGATGATGTGATTTTTTTTTTTTTCTTCCCCCTAGACTTGCTGATCTATTGTTTTTGTGATTTTTGTTTTCACTCCTCCCCGGGTTGCTCTAAGCCATGCAGCTCTCATGTGGCTATACCTGGCCAGTTACGGGATATCTTGGCATTTGTTATGCATTTGGAAAGTACTTTTTTTTACAAAGTTTGTCAGATAGCTACATTTTTTTCTTAAGTGCATATGTTTCCTACTTTAAAAGGTATAGATTTACTGACAGATATCCATTTCCTATGTACTTGTTTATATTTTGATTACATAGAATTTTCTTTTTTAACTTGCTGCATTGTGCTGGTATTTTAGTTCTTAGTTAGAATATCATGTTTAGAAACTTTGGATGAGTTCATAAGTCTTAATTGTTCAAGCGTTTACGTGATTGTGCCATTCCAAAGTGCATCAAAACTGTCATTCCCTTACTAGTATCTTCTCAGGAGAAATGCTACAGATCAGGTATTTAGTCATCATTTGGAAAGACAAAAACAAATGGACTCCCAAAGGACATTTAGAACATTTATATATAAAATATATAAATATATATATACACACACATATATATATGAAAAAATATCCTCTTGTTTACAACAGTTCCAGAAAACCTCAAAGTAGTTCCCTTCAGATGGAGGGAGATATGGATTCCAAGCAACCCATCTGTTTAAACTGTGCTCTGTACATAGAGTTTTACTGGAGAGCTCTAGTATGCCTGACTTGCAAATTTGCCAAACAGCAGCAATGGAAGATAAAGGTCAACTCATCAAAGTTCTTGGTTCAAAATGAGGAATATGCTGTAGGTTTAGAAAATAATCTTAGTAAAGGAGAAAGGATTTTAGAGCTAACGAGGCACAGAGCTCTCTCTGTCATTTTTATGAACTCCACATAAGCAACACATTTCTTTTTGGAACATCTGTCACCTGGGGTTGCCATGTAAAGTGAGAGTTATAGTTGTGATATTCTTGTGTTTGTAGTTCAGAAGACTCTACTAATATGCAAAAAGCCTTACAGCTTTCAATTGCTGGCAACTACTGTTTAACAAATAATTAAATCTGTGATAATGGATGGAAATGCGTGGGATTATGTAACTGTAGATGTTTTTAGAAAAATAATTGTGAATGAATTATGATTAAGAGTGTTTCATGTGAAGATGTTTGAGCCATTTCTATCTATCATGCATTCCTGTCTCAAGGCAGAAAATTTTGAAGAATAAAAAAAAATAAAATAATCAAAATAATATATTGCAGTGTTTTTCTCCATATCTGTTCTGGTTCCTTCTGTATATAAAGTGGGTGCTCTGATCACAGTTGCAATGTCTGGGTCTGTGATTTTGGAAGAACCTTTTTAGTTTGTGCTTTTTTGATAACCTCCCAGACTGCCTAAAAATATGTTAATTCACCATCATGAGTAATGCTGACACTTGTAAATACTGGTCTTGTTTACTTTTCAAAAGTTCTATGACATTTCCCTTTTCCATTTTTGATTAATAGCCTACTGGCACTGTCCTACTGTAGCTCATTGATGGGCGGCAGGGGATTACAAATTGGTATTTGTCCTGATGCAAAGCACAGTCTACCTTCCAGGGTTCTGCCAGAAACTTTCTTCTGGAAGTCATGCGAAAAGTACAAGCTTATTTTGGATATAACATGTTAAATACCATGATGCTTTCACATTCCTGATAGTCTCTGTCCAGCTGCAGGTGCAGAAGGTCACAGTATGCTTAATATATTCCTCGTGAAAGATTCTCAGTCTTTTAAAATGCTTTGAGTCATCTCTGTTTTTTGCAGCTGGTTTCTGTCCTTCACAAAAGGGGAGGATGGGGTAGAGAAGAAAGAAACCTGCAAGATAGACAAATACCTCATGGTTATCCTCCCTTAAAGAAAAAAAAAACACCAAACAAAAACCATCATTGCCACCCCCTGAGTTTGACTGGAAATCTCAATGACTTCTTTTCCACTAAATTGTCAGGAGAATGCTGCTGTTCTAACTTGAGCAACAAGCAGATGTCCTGAAGTCATGCTTTGCTGTTTCCAGCACACCCGCAACATCAGGTACCACTGTGCCCTGGGGCAGCTATGGAGTGCTGTGCTTTTCTAGGCTCTGCTCCCTTTCTCTCCAAATTCAGCTCAAAGCTTTTGCTACCTCTTCTCCTGGGATGCTCAGTAAGGCACGAGTTTTCCCGAAGAGTAGGTAAGTGGGTTGTCTGCGACTGTCCCTCACAGTGGAGGTGGGATAGGGCTCCAAGTGCCCAGTCTCTTATTTGGGACAACAGCAGCTGCTGTCAGTTTAGGTAGCTGCAGTGATGGTGTTTGTCATGTGGAGCTGAAGTTCAAGGTGGAAGCTCCAATGAAGGCAGAAAACTATAACAGCATCCCATTTTACACCATTGAAAATTTAAATTCAAAATCTGCATTAAAATGTTCGTTTAGGTTGCATAGTAAAATAGTTGAATGTTATGAAATGCCAGGCTTGTGGATTCTTGAAGTATGTGTCTATGTTGGGCACATTTCATGCAAACTGTTAATTAATTGGGCTTCGCACATAAAGGGCACTTTCAAGGATATGACCACATAATTTGGTTTCGGTGTTTTTTTCCCCAGAGAATTTCCAGGATAGGCGAGGAAGAGGCTGGGGGTGAGGATGGGTAGTGATGAACCAAGCATTTCTTAGGTTTGATCATACTGTAATTCTCATTATAAATAAGTATTAGGTTTTGCATATGATGCATGTCAAGTTCCAGCCTCTTACTTCTTTTAATCATCCCTAGAATGCATAGATTCTGGCGCTGTCTCTGAAAATAAGGCAAAAATTAAACTTTGATTGTTATATTGATTACAGTCTACACTGAACAATATGTTGTATTTTCTGCTTTGCGCTTCACCCCATAAGATGTGTTACACCCCCTTATGTTTCCTTCAGTTCAGTGCAGTATTTCACTTGAATCAGGATGCAAGTAAGTAGAATGTCTTTGTGAAATTTAAGCTTGGCTGAGCCAAACAAACAACAAATTCTCCTTTCCACTACCTCACGCCAATAAAATGTTGGTTCCTGGCAATGAAAGGATTAATATTACATGAAGTGGATTTTACGTGCACGATATTTGTGCTATTTGTTTGCTTTCCTCCTGAACAAGTCTGAGCCCATTGCCTAATCTTTATTTCTGACAGATGTTTTACGTACTTTAATACTTTAATCAACCAAGAATGAATAACTGCTTACAGTAGGATTATACAATTTAGAAGACTGGGCAGTGTACACATTTTTAATGTATTTAATGTGCATGGTGTGTCTTTGTGTGCATACACACATATGCAAGCATCAAACAGATAGGGCTGCTCAAGGCGGGATTTTTTTGTTTGAAAGAGAAATGTGGATGACTTCCCACTGCAGTGAATTACAAAGGTTTAGGAGCACAGGATAAAAAGCGTTCCCAACTGGACAGCAAGGCAAGAAGACTGGTTTCAGGCAAGAAGACTGGGAGAGGAGGCACAGAGGTGGAACAGTGGTTGTACTGGAGCTGCGTTTCCTAGGCTGGGTCCCCGGTACCCCCCTGTGTAGGTCCAGCTGTCCCCCTCCATCCAGATGGACTAAGCTGAAGCTCCTGCCACGTCCCCTGAAGGTTGAAGTCCCCTAAGCGGTATTTGACAAATGCAGGACACTTTCAGATAAATGAAAAGCCCTTTCAGAGCTCTGCTAACCTTGTTACCGTAAACTTGCTTAGTTATCTTAAACTGAGCACAGACCTGGGATTCCTCTTTATGAAGAGAGAAAAACTGGAAATGGGGAAGGTTGGCTGCCTCCTGGCATGGCTGAGTGTGTTACAGGAGCACTGGGGGGGAGGAGGGATGAAATGCCTTGTTGAGGAGAGACTTCGGTTGCCATTAAAAAAGGATAAAAACAAATCAAAACAAAAACCTCCTGATACCGTACTTAAGGCATTGTGTCAAAATGGACTAAATTGATTGTAAGAGAGGAAGGGGACATTATCAACTGATCATTCAAAAAAATTTAAAATATCTTTTCCCTGCTGCACACCCAAAATGCCCTCTGTTAGATTTTATCTGTATGCTAAAACCTAGAAAAGCTTTTACTTTTTCTGTTAGATGTACCAGGTGATTACAGGGTAGTTTTGAGAAAGAACAAATTTATGGAGATTTTGGCTGGGTTTTATTTTTAACGAACAATTCTAGAAAACAGTTTCCTTCCAAAAAGTTCTATTAACAACCCAAAAATCTGGGAAGACTCTACATCTTCAAGGAAGACGTGTGTCCTTGTGGTTTAAGTGGTGGGGTTTACAGCCCAGTACCCTCTTCAGAAGGGGACCTCTGGGCACTTGCCAGGCAAGCGATCGCTGGCAGAGTCAGCAAGGTCCGTGCCTTGTGAGCAGCCTCTGCTGCGTACATCTGGTCATTTTGCTCTCAGATAACTGCCATGCTTGCTTGGTTCTTTGGGACAGCTATAAAAAACCACTTTCTATAAATTCTTAAAGACTGTCTGAATTATAGTCTGTTACATTGTCCCAGCTTTATTTTTTGATGAAGTGCCTTTAAGTTACTATTTCTAGAACATGCTTTTGTATGGTGAGCCAAGTAAGTGCTCCAGATAGCTCTTGAGATTCCCTATTCCCTATTGCGGGATGTCTCAGCAATTCAATGTTTCTGTCCTGCATCGCTTCTTTTGCCAACCGACCTTGCTCTGGATCCTCCTTGTTGCACAGCACGTTCTTCATCCTGTGTACATCACTGCCTTCCCGGGCTAAAAGCAAGACGTGACATTTGCTTTTAAGGCCGCTTCAGAATTTATTTCGGCTTCCTTTAAATACACTGTCTTGTCATTCCAGTTAGTGTCTGTGTGTGCGTGTCCACCCTTTGTTCCCCTCCCACAGCTCTATCAAAGAAGAGATCGGT